ACATATATGCTTTAAATATTTTTGTTCCTTTTTCACTCATAGAATCATATTTCAGTTTCGTTAGCCAGATGATCAATTAAGCTGGTGGCAAACCCACCGTAAGGTCTTAGGTATTGAGTATTTGAAATATTCACATTTTCAATATGTCAATATGTAGACCATTCTAACTTATTACTATTATGTTAAGAATTGAATTACTTCTATAAAATACATTGTTTTTGAATTATTTACTAGAAAATTGTTACTGCTGTTAACTTTAGAAAAATTTGTTTTTAAAATAGCTTGCCTCCCTTGAAAGATAACTTAGAAGAGGTTTACGTTTTAATTTGAACATTTTTTTTTGTAATTGAAATATTGTAATTAAATTTTATTAAATTGTTAAAATCGGGTTGATTTTTTTTTTCAGCTCAAAAATCATATTTTGGGGGAAAAATGTTCTATAGCTTTTATTATTTCTTATATATTATAATGTCCACACGTCAGACTTAAAAAAACTGATAAATTCCGAAATTTTAATTTAAATTTTGCTTTTTCAGTCTTTCATATTACACACTTCAGCTTCATGATTTTACGGTTTAGGCATTTGCCGCATAAATTCAAAAATACATACATAAGATTTAGTTTAAATTTAAAATTACTTAAAGTCCACTATCATTATACGACAACCAAAATTACAAAATTTTTTTAGAGTTAAAAATAAAAATTAAAATAAATATTTTTAATTTTAAATTACATACGTAGCAATTTTAATCGTGTCTTAAACTCATTAAGAGTAAAAACTTCTTAGAATTAAAGTAATATATTAATTATGTTGAGATTAAGCAAATAATATTATGATTTCAATTTGTAAAAGCTATTAAAGCTATATATGAAAAATTAATAGTTTTAATTTCTTATAAATTTATTGTTATAAAAATAAAGTCCTTTATGTTGAAACCGAACTCTATTTTAATTGATAAATAATTATACACCCACTTCTCTTTTAACATTGTACCTTTCTAGAAAACCGAACAAAAATAAAATCGTGCAAAAAAATACACGAAATATTTGGTAAAATTTGGGAATGTGTTTGATAAGTTAAAAAATTCGTATAAGTTGATAAAATCCTAAATGTTTTTTTTTTAAATTTTTCAAAAAAATTAATAATAAATCGAAGGCAGGCAGGCTGGTCACCTATCTAGTTTTAATTTTATGACGCAATGAGATTAGGGTATAACTATCTATGATATCATGCATTAGCTCTATTCTCCTCCTGGAAGTGAAAAAGGAGAAAAAAGTATAAAACATAAAACCAAATAACTTTTATTACAAAAATCAAATTTAATTTTAATTTAAAAATGCTTACGTAAACCAAACTTAATATCGAGCATTTTCCTAATTCCACCTTATTTAGGTTATCATGAACAACATTTTAGAAATTTTGCTATGTTGCTGACATGTCCGTCAATTGCTGATATCTTCGTTATTTTGTGTAAAAAAATTGTTATTATGATCCGTGTTATATAAAAATGGAAAAAAAAAGCTTGTAAAAAAAAAAAAGAGTTGAGTGTACATACATACACACATAGCTATTTGCATTCGATATGAATTAAATATTTCCAACCGTCCATCTCAAATATAAAAATGAATAATTATACTATTAATTTTTTTGTAGTTTTCTAAAGTAGATTTGCTACTTAGCATGTTAATAGATACTTTTCAACTTTTATCTTAAATCCAGAATCAGCCTTTTCTCTCAATATTTTTTACATAATGAACAATTTGACTTGTTAAAATATAAGGTAAAGTAAGGTAATTTCGTCAGTGCATTTAATTTCGTCATAGGTCGCACTTCCTTCACATATTTGTCAAATATTAGGAAACCCCATTTATTTTCAATAAACTTTAAACATTTTTGTTTTTAAATATACTTGAAGTGAAAAGATCCGTTTTTAAATTTTAAAAAATTAGAATAAATTAATTTTAAAAGACATTCTTAATTACTGAAAAACATACCGGGGCAAATTTTTGCTTTTTCTTAGTGTTTTCGTTAAGAAAAGTAGAAAGTTTCTTAAGGGTATATCTGTTGAAATATGTGTAATTTCTTACATATTTGCTTATATTTTGACAAATTAAACTTAAAAAAATATTATTAATAAGAAAAAAATTGAAAAAGTGAAATATTAAAAAATAAAAGTTAAGTGACGAAATTACCAACCAAATTTTTTGGAGTTGGAGATTATTTCGTCAGAATGACGAAATTGAGTGATTTATTAAAACATTTTAAAATATGAATATTTACTTTTGAAACTTAAAATATTAAAAAAAATTGAATGCAGAACTTTTATTTGCAGTGTTTCTAGCCAAAATATAAAATTTCGTCAGTCATATTTTATTCAGGTATCACCGGTACAATCTATTTTAATAGTAACGAAAAATGTAGATTACCAAAGTTTTTCTACAAATAATGATAAAAACACGAGAAAACCAAAAATTGAAATGTTAAATTTGACAAATATAACAGTTCTGTACAATATCTAAAAAAACTATTAAATTTAAAACTAACTTTTACTAAAATTTTATTTACAATCACATTTTGTGAGGCGGCGGAATGTAATACTTAAATAGGGTGCTGATGAAATTAAAATTTTACATAGTTTTTGAATTGTTCAAATTTTGTCATGCTTTTTTTTTTCAAAATTGTTACCGGATAGTTATTAATTATGTTATACACAGTTTAAATTTGCATTATTTTTTATTTTAGTCCAATGAACTGTATTAAAACCTAGTTTTTTTTGCCATGACGAAATTAGCAACTCCACATGACGAAATTAAAAACTCAAAGTTTTTGCTGACGAAATTACATGACTTTTGGAGATATTTTAAAATTTAAAAAAATATAATAATTCACAAAGTAACTGTCTAAAAAAGTTAAAAATAATTTTGTCAACATTCCAAACTAACAAAAAATTATACTTTTATTGCACACACATTAACTCTTCGAAATACATCGTTAAAAAACTGAAAAAGTCCCTTAACATGACGAAATTACCTTACTTTACCTTATATAAATAAATACTATTATATATTTATTTGTTGCAAATAATTGAATTAAAAATTTAAAATTAAAATCACAATAATTATTAATTTTAAAAATCAATATAAAAATTATTTTAATCTTAATAAAAAGAAAAAAAAAACGATTAAAATTCAATTTTTTTAAAAAACAATTTTTCTTTATCATAAATTAAACTCGATAATTTTTTTCTATATATACATATAGATTTTTTTTTATTTATTTATTTAAAAAAAATTGATTTCACATTCAATTCAAACTTTACAGACATTTCTTTCTAGCTCCAGTTATTTTTGATTAAATGGGAGAAAACACAACAATCAAAAACAGAAAAACAAAAACGAAAAATAAATTTAAAACTTTCAACTTTTGTGTACACACATACATACAATTTTGTTTATATAGTTATGTTATATTGTTATACATATGAGTATATATAACAGAATAATACCGTATAGTGAATTCGTATGTAAATTGCATAACTCATGTGCAAATTTCTATTCTGGTTTTTTGTTTTGATATTTTGTTTATTTTCAAAACTGTTCTAACTTTAAAACGTCAGACTACTTTGTTTTCACCTTCTACTTCTTCTCAAAAAAAAAAAAAAAATACCTTTATTTCACTTAACATCCGTAACACAATTTTTCTTTTTTTTTTTTTTAACGATAATTCAATTTATTTTCATTGCTGTTTTTTTTGCCATATTTTTTTTTTTTCTTAATATAGGAAAACCACATTGCATTAAAAATATTACAAATTTTATATTTTCTTTTCTATATTAGAGAATATAGAAGAGCGAGTGTAGAATGATTGAAGAAAAGTAAGAATTGAAAATGAAAAATTTTGAATAAACGCGCGCATAATAAAAATTTCTCTCAGGTGCAAAAATGCCTAAAAAATACCTGTGTATTTTTTTTTTATTTTTAATATTTACTTATATACATATATAAAAATTGCATATATAATTGTAATATGTGGGGAAATAAAAATGCATTAATTCATATATTTTTATATTTTATATAAGTATATATAATAGGATATTATGCACACATATGTACATATAAGTATTATGAATTAATGAAAATACAGGAAGCAAAAACAACCAAATAAATAAATAAATATACGAGTATATATGGAGAAATAAGAGAAAAAGAAAACAAAAACAATAAAAAATTTTTGAAGAAAAGAAAAATGAAAATTTTATGAAAAACATTCCGATGCTGTAAATCTTCTTGTATATCTTACAAATATAGTATAAGAAATCTAATTTTTTTATTTACTTATTTCATTTTTAGATTTAGAATTTTTTTCTTTTTATCTTTTTGTAGTCCTTAAGGATAAAATGTGAATATCACTTTAGTTTTATTCAAGAAGTATTAAATATTCAGACATATACAAAATATGACGGAGATTTTTTAATTTTTTGTTTTTATATAATTTTTCTTTTCTATATTAATAACACCTGTTTCAAAGAGAAAAAAAAAACATACAAAATATTATATAGTTATATTGAATAATATCGCCAATAACATTTAAAAACAAAAAAAAAAAAAATTAGTAAAATAATATAAAACGCCTATTGTTATGCAATTATCTGTGTCAAAAGTACATTAAGTTTATAACAAAATATTTTAATAACAATTATATTTTTGTTTTTTTTTACTTTAGATATTCGCGCCATTTTACAGTTTTAAATTTAAATAAAGTGAAAAATTGAAATTTGATTAAATGAAAATCATAAATAAGTAAAATTTGAAAATAATATTATAAAAACTTGGTATAATAAAATAATAAGAAACTATAATAACTATTTAAAAATATTAATAAATAAAATAAAATTAATAAAATTAATGAAATAATTAAATTTCGAAATCATTATGAATTAATGTTTTGTTATTGTGAATTATTGTTTATAATTTAAATTGTGGTCATGAATACAATATAAAAGTGATTTTACGAATTAATGAAAAAGAAATATCTATAATAGAATAAATTAATAAAAGCGTATATTCAATTATTAATTAATATTAAAAAATAAATAAAGTAAATGGATGCTATGCATATACAATTTAACAAATCTATTAAGTCTTTATTATTAATAATTTAAATAATTTCAATTCAGCTATGTTTACAATTTATTTTTATATATTTATTCCCAACATATACATTTATAAAATCACATAAATTTAAATTAAAAGTGTTTGAATTAAAAAGTATAGTAAAAAGAATACATATTAATTTTTTTAATTACATTAAACAATTTGACATTAATAAATGAAAATTAATAATTTAATTAATATTTATTTTAATTATAATATTATATTAACAAAGAATAAATAACAATAGTGAAAAATTAACAAAATTTAATCTATAAATAAAAATTATAAAAATAAAATATATTCAATTAAATAATAAATTACAACAAAAAAAAAAAATAAGAAAAATAAAATAAACAAAAAGCAGAAAACAAAAAAAAAAAAATACCATTGATTAAATTTTTTACATAATTCGTATGTCAACCACACTGGCCAATAATAATAATAATAACGGAACCGCCTTTACGGAGGATCCTGAACATGATAGCGGACTATTACCAGATCTAAATGGCGTTGATTTGGTTATGAGCTTATCTCCAAAATCATCATCAATTGTAACAACTTCAACAGCATCACATCAACATACATCATCAGTAACAGCAGCAGCAGCCGCAGCAGCACATCATAATTTAACAAATTTAACAAATTTACAACATTTACAAAATTTACATCAACATCATCAACATCATAATCATCATCATCATCATCATTCAATATTAAATAATAGTCATTCAACACCATTTAGTGTTACGGATATATTAAGTCCAATTGAAGAATCATATCGCAAACTGGAGCTTAGTACGAATCCACCATCACCTTATAGGTAAGAGAGTATAACTTTATTTTATTTATGTTAAATAAATTTAAAAAAAAAAAAAAAAACAAATAATTAATTCGAATTTCTCGAAATATTCTCGAATTAAGTGAGCTCTAATAATATTTCCAAATTTGGTAATCTCACATAATAATAAATTTTTTTTTGATTACAAGAACATTTGAATAAAATTAAATGTCAATTTATACAACACTTACACTCTTCAATATAGAAAACTGGAATTCCAATCTAACGGCAATTTATAAATTTTGTAGACGCAGAATGGTGACAAATTATTTCTTCTACAATAACTTATACGTTTTTTAGATTGACCTTTAAAATTGGTTTTTTCTTATGTAACTAAATTTTTTGCTAATTTTTGAATTAATTTTTCTTCTGCATAGCGAATCAGGCGAATATTTTTAAGATCATCATATTCTTTTATTCCGTTAAAAATTCCTTTTATTCCGTTAAAAATTTTCGAAACGTCATTTTTCAACAATCCATGTCTTCGACGCAATTATTAAAGCAAAATATAACCGCAAAAATCTTTTTACCCACGAACCTTAACTAAAATAACTAGTTAACCAGTTCTATAATCGAATCTATTTTCGAATATATAATCGAATCTTTATTTTTGAATTCCTCCTAAAGATATGCAAAATTGAAGATATCCTCCTAAAGATATGTTATTAATCCAAACTTCATGAAATTTATTAGATTTTAAATTAATACCAGATCTAAATGACGTAAATAAAATACGAAAATGAATGAATAAATACTCCGGTCATATTTTTTTTGTAGTTGTGTTGTATATATCGCAACGCAAAGGTAACTATGTCCGTCAGTGGGCTAAAAGAATCTTCTTTCGAAATAAATTTAAACCAGACTTGTTAGTTAGATAATAAGGAAATTCGGCCTTGAGAAATCAATGTTTTTTAATTCTACATTTAGGTAAATATATTGCAAAATAATAACGTAAAATAAAAGACTTGGCAACACTTATCCTATATAAAGAAGTAAAAACCAATATATTTTTGTAAAATTAATAAATTATTTAAACCTTTTTTTTGCACAGTATCTATATGCGATTTTTCTTGTTCCCTTTAAAATTTTTCATTTTAAAATTACTTTTGTATGCTTGATTTTTAATTATCAAATTTGATATCAAGTGACAAAATTGAAAATTTGAATTAACATGAGAAATTGCAAAATTTTGTTTTGAAATAGCATTGCCTCCACGCTACTTAAAACCGACCTTTGATTATAGAACATTTTTCTTTCGGCTTTTCTGGGATATATTTTGAGTAATAAAAGAAATGCAATAAAAATTTTAAATTGTAGAATGTTCACATAAACTGACACTTGTAATATGAAAAGCACAATTTTAAAATTTAATTAAGGTTGAATTTATTATGTCTGAATAGGTTAAATATCATTTTTGAAATCTCTATTGTCTACGTTTAATGTGGCTTTCTAATATTTTTAATTGATGTGATGATATACTATAGCTTTTTTAAATCATATTTATAATGATATTTATAAATTTTTGTTATTGCAATTATTAATTATATTTTTTTTTAAATATACAGATCAAATTCTAGCGGCAGTAGTGTTAATTCACCTAGTGCATTAGGAAATAGTTCATCAAGTATGGCAAATCCATACGCAATGGGACCTCTATATCATAGTCCTGGAGTACAAAGTTATTGTGGTCCTACAGATAATTTATCTTTAGGCCATTATACAGATATGAGAAGTTCAGCTGGATGGTATGGATCAACAGCGAATGATCCAAGATTTGCAAGTAAGTGAATTATTTTTCATTAAATTAATATTTTATTTTTAATACTCGTATGTATTTTAAAATTGAGAAAATGTTATTATTAGTTTTCTTAAAACTAAAATTTAATTGTCAATTAAAATTTTTCTATAAAAGCTGTTAGTTTAACTTTATTTAACTTATTTAGAGTTTACAATTATTTAGGGATTTTTTAAATATTCAAAATTTAAATATGAATTACAAAGGTTGTTAAAGAATTGTGACATGTTAAATCCTTAAAATTTTAAAAATCTCAGCTGGTACCCATGAACCTAAACAAAATAGAATCTTTTATTATAATCAAAAGTATAAAAACTAGAAATCATTTCGAATATAATAATTTTCTACATTTTGTGCAAATTAATTTTAAAAACTCAGATTTTATCACTATTTTTTTTTGCACTTTAAATAAATAGTTCGGTGTGTACAAACCATCTGTCTTAAATCTCTTTTTGCATTTATCTTTTAAACAGATCATCTGTACATATCTATTCTATACTTGCTTAAGCAAATGTATACTTATATATATGATGTGTAAATATATGAACATTTAATGAACCATTGAATTGGCATAATTTAGTATAATGACAAGGTAAAACTAAAGAAAAGGAAAAAAACAAAAAAATAATGTTTAAAATTAAAATTTCAAATTATAAAAAAAACCTAAGAAAAATTTTTCTTTAGCATCGCAATATTTACTTTTATATAGATATTTATTTTTTATTTGAAATCATTAATACAATGTTAGTTTTAATATTGCCATTGCTTTTTATAAAGTTCTTAAATAAGTATTGAATATACTATTCGTGCACATATACAGCTATTATAATTTAAAACAAACGCATAACATTATTATTATGTACACAAGAATATTATAAGAACTCATCTATGTAGAACAATATAAATTTACAATATTTATTGAATAATTTAAATACACTGTGATTTTATAGTACCAGCGATGTGAATATCGAATTTTAGATATGTCGAGTAACAAAAGGTGCTTGCTAGTTGTTAGTAAGAAATAGTATTGCATAGTATTGAATATTAAAAATTTCGAACAATGCCTTCGAAGTAATTCATCTAAAACTTAATATTGCACATCGTATATCAATTGTAACCTTAGGTAAAGGGTTAGGTTAGGTTAACACGGTTTGAGGTTGCTTAGAAGTATGCCGAGGTTCTACTTTTCCGGTAGAATTCCGAGGGCTGTTCATGTCTTGTAAGTTCGTCTACCTTAAAATTCCCCGGAATCTCAATGTGCCCAGGAACCCAAACCAAGTTTATTTCGAACTGCATTGCCATCTCATTACGAGACGATAGAATCATAACCTTATCGATTTTGAAAACTTTAATTTAGTGAACATATCAACGCCGTTATTGCAATTAAAATAAAGAACAAATTTTTTATTATTTATCATGCTTACACACTAGATGGCTATCCATAAAAATACAAATGGCATACGCTCGCTGTTATCAAAATGTTGTATTTTTTGTGTCTCTGGCATATTAAAATTGAGCTACATAATTCATCTGTTAAAGCCAATATTTCACTAAAGTTTATAAATACAATAAAAAAAATTAACAAATAATTTTAGTTCCAGAAATATATGTTTTAGGGTTGTCTCGCAATGAGAATCGAATTCTGTGTGCATTTAGTGTTAGGCGCTGTGAATTTATTGTAATTAAATTTAACGATTTTAACTATGTTTCAAGAAAATTAAGTGTTTATTAACTATTATACTTGTATATTTTATAGAAAACAATATCACATGGTTATACAAAATTTAATTCTCATTCATTGACAACTCTGTTGCCCAAATAATCAATGATAATTTTTTTGTTTTTATTCATGTTTCTTTCTCAACTATACAGTATGTAGTTTATAAAGGTCTGACAGACTTTATTTGAGCTATTTGCTTATTTTATTGTCATTCATATTGTAGTTTTTGCTGTTTCTTATATACAGACTTACAGTATGTATGAATATGTAAACGTTTTTATTCTTGCAAATGTACAATATATTAAAGGAAAATGTTTTCTTTGGAAGCAGTTTTGTTTGCGAAGCACTTAAATTTTTAGTAAAAACTTTTCAATATAATAAAGTTGGAGGAAAAGGAGAAAAAAACAACCTCTGTTTTTTTTTATGTATTTTTTTTTTTTTTTTCTTGCTAAAACTAACAAATGATGTTATGGTCATTTTAAAAATATTTTAAGATTTTTTATACCCATATAGAATTTTTTTTTTAATACGTGATTATGTATTCGATTCACCGTTCAATACCTGAAATTTTTATCTTAATGTACGTACATAACAATGTGTTTGGCCCCATATAATAATATAAGTAATATAATGTTTTTTTCTACATAAATCTTATACACACCTCATTTCGCGGTACCAGGTATTTAATGAAAAACAGATTTTTTTTTCTGGTTTTTTTCTTTTTTGTTTTGGACTTGATTGAATGATATTCTAATATCGTTAATATTTTTATGTTTAATACTTGTTGCTGCTGCAGTTGTTTTGCTTTTATAATGATTTGATTTTGTTGTCTCTTTGAATCCTAATGTAAACAATGATGCGTAATAAATAATATATTTCAAAGTATTGTATTATGACATATGAATATGTTATACAAAGGCTCTTACTACAACCCGCATATGAATAAACCTTAGATATTTATACAAATTTTTGCTGGTTAACTCTTAGTTTTTTGGTTTTTTTTTTGGTGATCATGAAATTTGACTAAAATGTTAAAGGTGTTTTGTTTTTTTCTTTCTATCTCATCTTTGTTATCATTTATTCTTGTTGACGACGTTATTATCTTTGTTGCTGATTTGATTTGATTGAATTGGAATCGAAATATTTGCTTTATAACACAATAATAATAATAATAACACAAGAGGGACGAAAAAATTATCATTCAGCATAGTCATTGTTATTTTTAAGATTTTTTCCATATTGATTCTATTCAAAGTTAGAAAATACAGTTGATTTAAGAAGTATTGTTACTTTGTTGTTTCAAGAAATTCAATTTTGGAATTAATTTATTGTAGGGATTTATGATTTCTTCTCATTGAGTATGGTATGTATGTGAATATTTGACATAAAGTTGACATAAATGTATTCCTATATACATATGTGTTTTATTGATTGAATTGTCATACTTTTTTTTGTTTTCTCAAATATGTTGTATATATGTATATACAGTCATAGCCACGATTATTTTCACAAGGCAAAATTTTTGTGAAATTAAAGTTTAAATTCATATAACTTCTACAATTATTAATATTTTAAGTCCATATTTATATGTATATAATTATCACATTCTTCTTGTATTGAATTCGTATTGGAGTCTTTTTGGCTAAAGATATTACTATTAATATTTTAAAAAATTTGATTTTTGTGCAGTCAACTTCTATAAAACTAATCACTGGCAAAAATATGTTATATGTAAGAGTAAAATAATATTATTAACAAACTACACACTGTAGTTGAATCTTTAGCGATATAAATTTATAATGATAAAATCAGTAGCTGCTTCAAGTATTAAAGTATTTCCCTATGTGGAATATTTAAAGGAATATTTTGTCATATTAATTAGTATACTAAATTATCTGTTTGCCAGTACACGGCGTTTTTTTTTAATACTAAAGGTGAATTCATTGGTTTTTCGATTTTGAGCTGAAATATTTAAAGTTGAAGTATTCTAAAATAAAGTTCTTTATTGGTTCATTTTGTTCGTCTGAAAAGAGCTGAGCCTTTATTTTTTCTGTTACGGTACATTTATTACTTTTTTTTGATAAGAATAGTAGGTAATTGTAGTAGTCCAGTAAGTTTATTATGTAAATTTGACATTTTTGGAAAATTTATTAACTAAATTGGAAGTTAATTAAATTTTTTTGAGCGAGAGAAAAAAAAAACTGTTATAAAAATAAAGAGAATGTCAAAATTCCAAATTTTCATAAATAATGCACCAGCACGTCGCTTAACTGACCAATCAATAAATCGAGCTTAAATAATTTTTATAATTTCTAATTGTGATTTTATAATCGAGTATATTAGTATGCTTCATATAATTATGATATACACCGATTGTTTATTGAGACTACATGCTAATTAAATTTCCTTCCTAACGGATTCATAATATACTTTCAATAAAAGCAAGAGATAGCAACCATAGAAATTTCATTCAATTGATCTTTAACGCCAGAACTTTAAAATCTTAATAATGATTTTTATGCTAAAAAATATTATTAACATTGTTTTCGGTATAATGAATTGAATTATAAAACTATGTTGCAAAAGTTGAAACGAATATACAGTAACGAATAGCACTTTAAATTTTGTGAATCAAAAATGGAAATAAAAAATTAAGCAAATTTTCATTGCACTATTTGGAGTAGATGTGAACCGAGGTTTGCAATTTCTAAGACTTGCCGTTTTAGTGAATTATTGTTATTTCCATTTTCATATTAATTTTGGAAATTTCGATTTTTTTCTCTTATAAATATAATTCTGGTTTATCTACATGTTGTATATATGTACACAAATATTTTAGGTAATGCAAATTTTACTATTCATAAAGATTAATAAATTAAACAATAATTTAAGTAATATATTTAAAGACGTGTAGTATAATTAATTAGTGATTAAATAAGTGGTACTTGTTACCAGGCTTAAGTTAATTTCAGAACTTATTCCCACCTTAAAACAAAAAAAAAAACTATAGCTATTTATTCTAACACACCAATTATTCTAATACACTTGATATTATTATTTACATATTATATGTACATATAATATGTATTTAGTGAAAACCAGTTGCCTCCTTGACTTTTTAATTTATATAAGATTTGTGACTTTTGTTTATTTTGTATGTAAATACATAAAAAAAAAAAATTTTTTTTTTTCTAAAATCTAATCAAATAAAGTTCGTGGCTAATGTTTAAATTGTAAATAAGCATATACATATATGTGTATATCT